ATTTATATGTATATGTTATTTATATTATTTATATATATATATATATATATATTATATATATATATATTTATTATGTATATGTTATATATGTTATTTATTTATTATGGGGGGATAATAGGTTTAGACACGGAGAGGAGGAGGAGGAGGAGGAGGAGGAGGAGGAGGGGAGGAGGGAGGAGGGGGGAGGAGGTGGGTGGGGAGGGGGAGGGGGTGGAGGTGGGGGTGGGTGAGGGTGGGGTGTGTGGGTGAGTGTGCAACGAGGAAAAAGAAGACAGAAAACAAGATGCGATAAAGAGGAAATTAAGAGAGAAAACCGAAGAAAGAATGAGAAGAAACTGAAAGAGAAGAAAAAAAGAGAAAATGTCGCAGAAATTAAGAAGATAAGAACGACAGAAAACGACAAAAAAACGACAATAACAGGCGGCATGAGCAGGTGCCGATAATGCCGAGATAAGACATTTGAGGAGCTTAACGAGGCCTCTTTCGCCTCTTTCGCCTTCCCCCCTTCTCCCCTTTCCCCCTTCCCCTCCTTCCCCTTCCCCTTCCCCTTCCCCTTCCCCACCTTCCCCTTCCCCCTTTCCCCTCCTCCTTCCCCTTCCCCCATCTTTCTTCCCTACCCCCTACGCTCTTCCCTTCCCCTCCCCTTCCCTCACCCCCTCCTCCTTCCCCTACCTTCCCCCCCCCTACGCTTCCCCCTTCCCCCTCCTTCCCCTTTCGCTAGAGATGGACAGCAGATACGACCGAGTGTGTCGTGTCCTCAAACCTATTTTTTTTTTTCTTTCTTTGTCTTTATCTTCTCTTTATCTTTCCGCGGAATCGAGCGATAAGAGAGTTCACGGAAACAGCGAAGGGGGGTTGCTAACTAGGGTTTTTTTTTTTCTAAGTTGCTAACTAGGGTGTATGTATTTTTTTTTTTTTCCTCTTGGTAACTACTTTTTTTTTTTTTTTAATAGGTTTATTTCTCTCTCTCTTCTCTCTCTCTCTCTTTCTCTCTTCTCTCTCTCTCTCTCTTCTCTCTCTCTCTCTCTCTCTCTTCTCTTCTCTTCTTCTCTTTCTCTCTTCTCTTCTCTCTCACTATCTCTTTCTCTTCTTGTCTTGTCTCTTTCTTGTCTTGTCTTGTCTCTTTCTTGTCTTGTCTTGTCTTGTCTCTTGTCTCTTTCTTGTCTCTTGTCTTGTCTTCTTGTCTTCTCTTCTCTTCTCTTCTCTTCTCTTCTCTTCTCTTCTCTTCTCTTCTCTCTTCTCTCTCTTTCTCTCTCTCTCTTCTCTCTCTCTCTCTCTCTCTCCTCTCTCCCTCCTCTCTTCTCTTTATTCTCCCTCTTGCTCTCTGGTTCTCCTTCTCTGTCTCACCTGTACGAGTCTGCCGTGCGCTCTTCCGACACTTGGGTGGCAAACGTGATAATGGCTGGGGGAAGGGGGGGTGTAGAGGAAGGAGGTCAGTGCCTCGTCCTCCTGGTCCTCGTCGTCCTCCTTCGTCCTTCCTCGTCCCTCGTCTCCTGCTCTTCCTCCTCATCCTCCTCTCCTAGTCTCGTCGTCTTCCTCGTCCTCATTCTCCCTCCTCCTCCTCTTTTTGTCTCCTCGTCCCCTTCCTCCTTCCTCCTCTTCCTCTTTGTTCCTATTCCTCCTCGTCCTCTTGCTCTTCGTTTTTTTCAGCATTTTCGTCCCGCTCCCCTCCTCCCCTCCCCTCCCCTCCCCCCCTCTCTCCCCCTCCCCCCCTCCCCCCTCCCCCTCCCTCTCGTCCCCCTCCCAAACTACAACCCCTCGCTTCCCCCCTCCCTTCCCTCCCTCCCTCGTCCTCGTCAGCCCAACTTACAAATCCACAGCCAAAGATAATTATTCTTGCCTACTTAGGTTTTAATTAGGTTTGGCGAGTGACTTGTGTGTTTTTTTGTTTTTTTTATGGTGGCCGATATTTTATTTATTCTTGCTAATGAGTTATTTTTTTATTCTATGGGTGTCCTTGGGTCATTTATTGTTTTTTTTGTGCTTGCAAGTACTAATGAAATGCGAGTGTTTGATTTTGAAGCGATGTTGCTTCTTAAATCGTGGAATTTTCACTTTTCGTCGGGAGAATGGTAGTGGTGTGTTGTGTGTTTGTTGTTTGTGTGTGTGTGTGTGTGTGTGTGTGTGTTTCATTTTAACCGTGTACTCATGTTTTTGTCTTTGTTTTTGACGGTTATCGTGTTCTTTCTTGTTTTACTTTCCTTTTTAAGTGTGTTTTATTTCGTGTCTTTAGAGGACTTCTTTCATTTTTGTTTTATTGTGTATTATTGATAACTATGGCCTTTAGGTTGCTTTTCAGCAAATATTTAATATCCTTTCTTACAGACTATGAGGTCAACCTTTTGAAAAAATAGACATTTGATAGATTTTTGGCATTATATGAGTAGACACATTCCTAATTGTAACGATTTTGTTTTAATGAGATACAAAGCAAGTAGTTTCTTCAAATTAGCTCCTTAGGCTTGAAAGTCCGTGCCCTCTGACCCCGCCTCCCTTGCAGGTGCTGCCACGATGCTGACCTGTCCCAACTGCCACCACGTCCTGGCGGCTCACTCCTGCTGTGGCCTCAACCTCACGGTCCCGTCGGCCGCGTTCCCGCCGTCGGCGACGTCAGGAGCCTCCGTCCCCTCGGCGGCCATGCTCGGCCCGCGCCTGGGCCCTCCGGGGGGGCGCGCCGCCCTCGCTCAGCGTCAGCGCCCCCCCGCAGCCGCAGGCGCTCGCCACGCCGCACATCAGCGGCCACATGTTCCACTTCCCGACGGCGCTGCCCATGGCCGGCCTGCCCGCCTGCCACGGCGCCTGCCACGTCGCCTGCCACGCCAGCCTGCACACGCCCTGCCTGAACCCCTGCCGCTCGCCATGGCAGTGGCCAGATAGTGGCGGTTCCCTGCCGGGCCCTGCCATGGCCGCGCGCATGCACACGTCAGGCGGAGGCATCGTCGACGAGGGCGCCAAGGCGGCGGCGGCGGCGGCGGCGGGCGCAGCGGCGGCGGTGCACGCGAACGGCGTCGGCTGCGACTGGACCGCGTGGGACGACGAGCGCGTGCTGGGCGCGACGCGGCGCATGCTGGGCGAGAGCGGCTGGTACTGGGAGCGGCTGTCGTGGCGGCAGGCGGAGACGCTGCTGCAGAGCACGAGCCTCGGCACCTTCATCGTGCGCGACTCGGCCGACACGCGGTTCCTGTACTCGCTGAGCGTGCAGACGGAGCGCGGGCCGACCAGCGTGCGCATCCACTACGCGTCCGGCAAGTTCCGCCTCGACTGCGAGTCGCACATGGCGGCCACCATCCCCGACTTCTCCAACGTGATCGCCCTGGTCGAGCACTACATCCGGGTCAACCAAAAGCTGCAGAAACACTTCTGGGTGGACGCGCAGGGCAAGGTCTACTGCCCCATCACCATCCGGCAGCCGCTGAAGAGGGCGGTGCCGTCCCTCAAGCACCTGTGCCGCCTGGCCATCAACCTGGCGGTGCCCCGCTCCTGCAGCGCCCTGCGCCTGCCGCCCTCGCTGTGCCAGTACGTTGACGAGTACCCCTACTGGTGCTAATGGCGGGCGTGCGGGCGTGCGGGCGGCGGCGGGAACTCAGGGGCAGCGGCGGGGCGGGACGCTGAGCGCGAGAGACTGCGACAGACTCCATTGAAGCGCGGGACGAAACGCGCCCGAGGCTCGCGCTCGAGGCGTCCACGGAAGCCGGGTAAAATAGCATGGAAGTTTTTACATACGTCATAATAGAAATAGTAATGTATTTTTTAAGGGAAAGTTGTCTACTAAGAATATATTGAAGTTCAGTGTCGGATACAACATTCCCCGCGAGTAAATTCCCGAAGGGCGACCTGAGGACAGGAAGCGAGTCAAACGCGTATTCAGAAGACCAGCGATTCTTTTTTAAATTCCACATCTTGCGGACTTACATGACGTGCAAAACAACAAAGCTTTGCACATTGCAGAGCTGACGTAGTTATATATACATATAACCGAATTTTGATAGTAATCTTAAATAGTAAATATTAAATAGTAAATATTCAGGGATTGTGGGTGTTTATATGGCATTGGCCCGAGATGCTGAGTCGATGGTAGGTAGAGAACCTTGTACATGGCAATGTAAGAGCTTCCACATATTTAAGAGAAAAAGAAAATAGAAGAGAGAAAGAAGGAACGAATCTTGGAAATCATCAGACGGATAACCTCTTTACCAAACACTGTGAGTGCGCGGGCTACTTTTTTTCTTCTTTTTTTTATATTGGAATGGACAGAAGTGAATTGCACTGAACTGCAATGGGTTCATGAACACGAGTGTAAGTTATTCAGAGCGTGAGAACAAAAGCAATAACGCAGGACTATTATTTCGCCGGAAGGACGCTGCTTCTTGCTCATGTGAGATCTGGGTGGTTCGGATCTCAATTTCCTCTTCTGGATTCAAAGGACTTATAATTTATATACATTTTGGAATGGATGACGTATGCTACTGTTGCATAATGCCCTTGTAAAAAAAATTATTTCCCACGACTGTTGTGGGAGTCAATTGTTTGTATTTTTTTTCCCGTTGCCTTCAAAGGTAGCCTCGTCGTATAGACTATTTTATTATGCCAGATGAAATGAAACATAAAAGAGTTTGTATCTTAACAAATATGTTTTGAAATGACGCAAGCCCACTGCGGGCAAAGAAGGTGAAAGCAGCGAAGGTGTTCATCAAGCTATCCCCCTTGTAGAGTCCTGTCCGGGGAGTAACGTGGACTAAAAAGTTCCTCCGTAGGACTCCTCTGCGCGACAGGGCTTCTCGTCTCGAAAGCCAACTCGAACCACGTCTCCATTCGGTCAGACGGCAGCCACTCATTGTCTCGCAGTTCATGAGGAGAGAGTGAGAGAGAGGGTCTTGTACCACAGCCAGTCTGGAGGTCAGTCGATGGGTTGGCTGGTTGGTGGAGTTCGGGCGCTCTCCTCGCTCTCCTCGCTCTGCGGGCGGCTGGCGTCCACGTCGAGAGACTGGCACTTGCTCTCTTCTCCTGCTTTGACTTAGTCTATCTCTCTCTCTCTCTCTCTCTCTCTCTCTCTCTCTCTCTCTCTCCTCTCTCTCTCTCTCTCTCTCTCTCTCTCTCTCTCTCTCTCTCTCTCTCTCTCTCTCTCTCTCTCTCTCTCTCTCTCTCTCTCTCTCTCTCTGCTCTCTCTCTCTCTGACTCTCTCTCTCTCTCTCTCTCTCTCTCTCTGACTCTCTCTCTTCTCTCTTCTCTCTCTCTCTCTCTCTCTCTCTCTCTCTCTCTCTCTCTCTCTCTCTCTCTCTCTCTCTCTCTCTCTCTCTCTCTCTCTCTCTCTCTCTCTCTCTCTCTCTCTCTCTCTCTTCTCTCCTCTCTCTCTCTCTCAAAACTAATACCAACTCTCGTGCCAGTTTAGACAAAAAAAACAATAGTTTCACTTTCCTTCAAGACGTCCTGGATTTTTCAAAGAAAAAATAAGAATGAAATTGAATTTTAAAAAGTAAGACAAAAGTCCTTAAAGTCAGGAAAGAGAGAGAGCGGGTTTCGGCGTGGACCCAGGCCGAGATGACTGAAGAGAGCCGTGACTCCAATAATGCTTCCATTCACAAGCTTGTAAATAGTCTTTTGTAGAAAAAAATAAATATATATAAAGAAAAAAGAGAGAAAATTATGATAGTAATTGTAAATAAGTGACTTCCTAAAGTCTACATATCCATCTTACTGATTTACATTGGCTCTTCTTGCCAAAACATAGATTTATAGTATTTATACGGATTATCCAAAAAAAAAAAGAATAAAAAAATAATAAAGTTGTATAAAAAATACACCAGAATTCCTCCAAATATAGTCTTCACTAAAAGGTCGTTTTCGTCGACTCTAAAATAGAGTTGTCAGAGAGAAAAAAAAAAAGCATCTATGAGGTGCCAAATCAAAGAGCCTGATTTTATTACTAATACACCCTTATGTATAGCACTCGGTGTGTAGGACTGTTTAAACAAAAAAAGTGTACAGCATGTTGCAGTAGCTGGAGTGGAATCAGGTCCACTTCTTTCTGAGTGTAAAAAAAAGAATCATATGTTTTTTTTTTTTTAGTTCTGTTTGAATTCTTTAGCGTTACAGTGGCGACGCCAAAGGGACCAGGGATGCCAACGGTTAAAATTTTTGAAAATAAAGTAACTTAGACGTTTAATGCAGGTTACATAGTTGTATGTCCTTCGAAATGTACATTTCTCCCTCCCTCCATCCCCCCCTCCATTCCCCAACCCCCTTCCACACCCTTAGTTTTGTATATATTTATTTAATTTGCCGAACATCAGTCTCTTCCATGAATCATGCATCACCTCCTCGCGGTACCACGCAAGGGACTTCTAAGATAGGTAGCACCATTCTGTCACGATAAATGCCATCATTAGATGTAAACATGAACAGAGTGTTATATATATTTTGTTTGTTTCTTTATAGATTTTTTAATTGTCATTGCTTAACTATTTTTGAAGAAAATATAACTGGAAAAATATCAAAAGATTGAGAGGGTGAAATGGAATAGAGATAAATGACGTAGTCGCAGTTAGCCAATGAGGGCGCGCCCTGAGATATCAGCTATGGCTAGCAACATGACTTTATGTATTTACTAGATATTGGTATAATTGCCAGAAGGAAAATAAAACATCCTTTCTGTTAATGATAATGAAGTGTTCCTTACGATATACAGCTGACAGAATAATTTAAGAGTTAATTTCATCTTCGGGTTGAACAGGCTTATTGAAAGTGGTGCTACCTGTCTCCTGGAGTTTCTTGGTACCAAACTTAAGGGGAGTGTGAAAGAAGTGTCAAGGTGGTAAATACGAGAGAGTTGCAGTTGAATGTTGAATTTACTTTTCTAAGTGAATATAAGTGTCTGCCTCGAATTATCACCCTTAGACATAGAGTGAAAATGTAAGGAGAAATAAGATGACAAACAACACCGAAGGAGACATTAGTGATATTGTTCTTTTGTTTACTTCAATTTTGAATTGTATTTAAAATGCTAAAAGTTAGCTCCGGGGCAAAATGGCAACCCAAACACAAAATTCAATTTGCACTCATGGCTGCAGAGAACATCAAAGTGCCTGTAATGAATTAATTTTGAATTCCGCGAACTGATCAGATACATTTTCTGCTTCTGTGTATTTGGATAAATGCAGGGAGTTTTTGTCATGAGATTACATTATTTTTGTAAATGGAGGTATGATATTAATCTTTATCATGAAGGAATGAGTTGAAGAAGATATATGGATGATATATCTCATTATTCAGTGAGTTAATATGGTTGTTGTATTCCAGAAAGAGCTTTTGAAACGCTGGGACTAAAGGGAGGCGCAATCACGTTGGTCTTCTGACAATCAGCTGTTCATATTTTTCCCCGATTTTCGTAAGGTTATTTATTACACCGATTATGGGGTAGCTTCCACTTAGTCGACGTCCGAATTTAACAATATATTTTTATTCACCTTTTTTTAGCACAGGTTTCAGTTACTAGGATTTTAGTATTACCAGTATGTACAGGTATTAATTTTCTATACATCGGAGGAGGAGCCTGGTTGCATGCTGAACGGAAATGCAAGCGCAGTGTGTACAAAGGTGAAAAGAAACACAGCCACAATGATGTTTTTGAAAGCACGTTTCGGGTTAAACGAGATTCATCATCGGATTTTAAAAACCACCGCAGCTGTTTTTGTGGGCGTTTCATTTCACTGACTGCACATTGTTTGGTATTTTCCTCAACCATGTGAGAGCGAGCCAGCAAAACTGCCCTTACTGTAGTTCTATTTCTCCGTACTTCAGTTCGTTCGGAGGTCCTTCTAGGATTCTCCGAAGAAAATGTACGAAATCAGTTTTTTTTTCTGCAAGCAGAAACTTTGGAAAAGGAGTCACTCATTTTTGTTGCAATTATGGGAAGAAGAAAGCTCTAAGATTATTTCGGACTTTTTTTTGATCATGTAACTTAACGAAGAGTGCACTGTCTCCATTGAAATTTTCGAACTTTAAAAAGTAACCTACACCACTAAACTTTCGAAAATCATCCTCATATTTTTATATTTATTTCTCTTCTAATTTGTAGATTTGAAAAGAGAAACTGAAGAAATCCCCAGATCAGTAGGCGTCACAAGCAAGACCCTACAAGAAAGGTTTTCTCAGCATCTCTCCGATATGATTTGTAGTAGTTAAATAAGCAACCAAACCCCGCCCACTCCGTCGCATGGGTGGGGCACGGGCGTCCTCCCCCCTTCCTTCCTTCCCTTCCCTTCCCTTCCCTTTCCTTTCCTCTCCTTCTCCTTCCCCTCCCTCTCCTTCCCCTCCTTTCCCTTCCTTGACTAAGGCTTCATTTGCACTCTCACAGAGGGCGCTGCGTCGCCTCGCTCCATCCTTCCTGAGACTTGGTCCAGGATTCGGGCTCCTCGCGTGGGGCACGGGGGGGGGGGGTCCTAAGCCCTAAGGATTCTTTTAAGGATGCTCCAGAATGCCCACATACCGGTCTCACCAACTGTGAATGATTACACTTCGGACTTAAATCCTCAAACAGGATGGATCGCGTGCAGGATTTTTTTTTTCTTTTTTCGTATTTTAGATGTAGTTGTAGGATTCATTTCGGTAGCTTTTGATGCCCTTGTAGATGAGAGAAAAGGTCTGTGAAGGAAGCCTTACCCAGGGATCACAAGCGTTGGCGAGAGCAATGGGAGACGGAGGTGGAAGAAGCACTCCGAGGCGGGAAATTCAAATCTGACGAAGCTTTTTTTGGTGGAATGGCAAAAGGTCTTGTTTTTTTTTTCTTTTTCTTTTCCTTTTTTTTCTTTCTTTTCCTTTCTATTTCAAGTGTTGTGCTGGTGTTATTACTTCGACAAAGTGGAGGGTTTTTCATGTAGATATAAAAAAAAATCTTTTTTTTTTTAAGAAATAATAGAACAAGATTACGTTTTTTGTTGTTTTTTTTGAGAAAAGGACAAAATTATGTTTTTGATAATCTGAATCAAAGTATGCGGTTCTTACACACAAAATTAAATCTTCAAAAATATTTGTAAAGAGAGCTCAGACTCGTACTAATCAAAAAAGGATGATCTGTTTCCAAAGAAATACTTTTATTTCATGCATAAGACTAAACTCTTGTTAAATTTCAAAACTCATTTACATTACATATATACGATTACCTCCTAGCAAATTTCAAATAGATGAATAAATAAAATTACATTATGTCCATACAGTAACACCTGGTCTTAAATTTATAATTTTTTTTCTTTTTTAACCATTTATAAAATATGTATTATAATCATACGATAAAACCTCCACCCTTTTTTCTTTATTTACATATATATATATATATATATATATATATATATATATATATATATATATATATATACCCTTTTGTCCGTTTTTTTTTTTTTTTTTTTTTTTACATTTCTATATATTTTTTTTTTTTATTTTTTTTTCTTCCAACATCCAAGTCGTCCAAGTCTCCAAGTCCAAGGTGTCCCTTTCCCCATTTTTCTTCTTCTCTCTTCGTCGTCCAAGT